GTTCATTTACTTCTGGATGAAAAATCATAAATTTTGAGCTGTCGGCCAGTACCAGTACATGACGTTTAGGGAGTGTCCTTTTTGAACCCCTACCGGAACCGGTTCCGGGTATCCGGATGTATCCATATGTTGGTCCATGGTATAGTGTCTATTTACTTTTGCATGTAAAATCATAAATTTTAGTTGTCGGACCCGTCGTCTTTAAGCCGTCGGACGATACCAGTACATTAGGCTTAGGAAATGTCCTTTTTAAGCTTTATCTGAACCGGTTCCGGGTTTCCAGACGTGGATATATGGGAGGTTGCTGGTACCACTAAAAAATAGACTCTATATTCATAGTCTGGCGGGGCAATGGGGGGAGCCAATTCGACCTGTTACGTGCGGGAGCCAATTGAGAAATCAAAGTTGCCAGTTCAACAGTCCGCATCGTGCTCTCTTGCCGTGCGGATCTATTTGCTTTTTGCTGAAGGAAGTGTTACTACTACTTAAAGCTACAACAACTTTAAACAGCACTTTTCAGTGCTCAACCTGTAAAATTACTACCTTGTTCGGACCCTACCCGAGGTAATCCTTCTTGGATATCGATTTGGAAAATTCGATCCTTCAGATTCTTTTAGTAATCTGCTTGGAAGTCGATTTGGATAAAAATTTACTGCCGCCATGGTGCTTAAGCGCAAAAGAAAGGGGCAAACTCTTGATCCCCCTTCTGATGAAATTAATTTGAGTAATCAATTTGATTTGCTCACGGATGATGAGAATGATCCATCATCCAAGAAAAATTCTAGCAAACTTTCCCGGCTTAATGCCAAGAAGGAAAAGATTCCCCCTATTGTGATAACCACTTCCGATTTCCATGCTCTTCGCATGGAACTTTTGAACTTCGTGAAAGTTAAGTTTTCACTACCAATTGGCCGTCGGGGTCTTCTCAAGTATCTTACTGAGAAGCAGCATACATTTTTTACTTACATGAACGTGTGGTTGTCATGAAAGGACTGCCCAGGTGTAAATCCCTGGATCAGATCAAAGATGAACTGGCAAAATTACTTGGAGTTGTGTCACTCCAAGTAACCAAAATGAAAATGAAATTCCATCCTGGCTATTCGCGCAACGGGATTTCTAATGATTTTTATTTAGTTCACTTCAAGTCTAGTAAACTAAACTACCTTAAGGCCTTAGAAAAAGCTAGCCTTATGCTCCATGTCCGAGTGAAGTGGGAACACTTCAGGAAGACTGGAGGAAATTTCCAAAATCTCACTCAGTGCCGTAAGTGCCAGGGATGGTCTTGTGAAGGAAGATCCTAAGAAATTTAAATGTACAAATTATGGTGAAAACCACAAATCAAATTTTTGGGAATGTAAGTCTCGCAAAACGATCCTACAATCTCGTTCTAAGCGACAGGTAGGAACAGTCCACGTTTCCGACCAGGTACAAATTCCTCTACTGTTAACAACGGTCAGCGAGGAACAAATTCTACATTAGTACCTGTAGATACAAATATCACCCCTGCTTCAAATTCTTCATCTACTATATACCTTGATCCTCTCGCTGCTAAAATGTTCAGCGAGTAAATGGAGCTGCCATTGCAGCGGATAGAAATCAAAATACTAACCAACGTAATTCTAACGGAAATTTTGAAAATGTTGATTTAGGAAGCAATGGAATTTTTACAGAAATATTAATTCATATGATTACTGATATGCTAAAAACTAACTCCATATTTGATGCTATTCAAACTTGAGTAAAATTTACGAACAATATTGTCATAACTTTGAAATTCAATCATGGATTTTACATCATTAAATATTTTAAATTGGAATGCTCGATCTCTTAAAGATAATGAAGACGAGCTGTTTAACTTTTTGCGAGTTAATAGCGTACATATTGCCGTTATAACTGAAACGTTCCTTAAACCTGACCATAAGGTTAAGAAGGACGCAAATTATTTTATTTATTTAAATGATCGTCTTAAGGTTCAATTTACTTTGATGCATTTTTTTAAAAATTCAAAAGCAGTTTTTTTCCTCGCATTATTTTAGATTGCAAAAAACTCGCGTCATTTTGTGTAAAATATCAAAAGCAATCGAATAGTGCGAGCTTTTTGCAATCTGAAATAATGCGTCTGAAAAAACTGCTTTTGAAATTTTCCAAAATGCATCAAAGTAAATTGAACCTCAATGGACACTGTCGTGGCGTGACATCATTGCTCATAGACGAATCAAACATAAAATTCTTTCTTCATTTGAAACCAAAGTTTTTGAAACTTTGGGAGTATCTGTTGAAACAAAATTTGGACAAATTACGTTTATAGCTGCCTATTTTCCATTCCAATGCGTAGGCCAGCAAAAGAATTTTCTCAAGGGTGACCTTCAGAAACTTACCCGTCATTGGTCTAAATTCTTCATTATTGGTGATTTTAATGCAAAACACCGCTCATGGAATAATGCACAAAGCAATTCCAATGGTAATATTCTGTTTGATGATTGTTCTGCAGGTTATTACACTATTCAATATCCAAACAGCCCAACATGCTTTTCTTCTGCAAGAAATCCCTCCACTATTGATTTGGTCTTAGCTGATTCATGTCGACTTTGTAGTCAATGGTTACCCATGCTGACTTCGGTACTGATCACCTTCCAGTAACTTTTGAAATATCCCAAGAAATAATTTCTAATCCCAACAGCTCTACTTTCAATTACCATAGAGCTGATTGGGAGCAGTATCGAACATTTATGGAATATAACTTCGATCCAAACATTCCTTTGCAAACCAAAGATGAAATTAATTATGCTCTTGAATCTCTGACTACTTCTATAGTTGAAGCAAAAGCTGCCTCAGTACCAAAATGCGAGGTTAAATTCGATTAAATTATAATAGACGACGATCTTCAGCTCTTGATCCGTCTTAAAAATGTACGTAGGAGACAATTTCAAAGAACACGCGATCCTGCCATGAAAGTTATCTGGCGGGATTTGCAAAAACAAATTAAAAAACGATTCTCTGCCCTGAGGAACAAAACTTTTGAAAATAATGTTTCTAAATTAGACCCAAGTTCCAAACCCTTTTGGAAACTCACAAAAATTTTGAAAACAAAATACAAGGAAATTGCTGCCCCCTACACACCTACACACGCGTCTCCGTGTTGCTCCTAAAAGTTTCTTCAATTTGCCTAGTTTTTCCGTCCGGGCGCGACTTAATCTACTGAAAACGGGTAGCACACGTTCCGGTGAATCCGACGAACCTAAAATTAGGTCAGAAATCGTGAAAATTCTAAGATAATTGTTGAATCTCTTCCCGGTCGCGTCTCGGTCGGCGCGAGGAAGTTTTTCACCTTCCAGCCGCCATCTTTAAACTCAACATAAGTAGCAAGATAGCCACCGCTGGGGCATTTTGCTGTACGACGTTGGGAAACTGCGGCTACCGTCGGGGCACCCAGCTGCTAAACGAAAATTCCTGAGAACGCAAACTCATCCAGAAGTTTCATAGTTAGGGAATTGCGGCCACCGCCGGGGCCTCTAGCTGACTGCTGCTGGTTGAATCATGCCTCCACCGGGGCTCCCAGCTTATCTGTGACTTCCTAGTGACTGTTTCCTCTGTGAACATTGCCTTATTTTCGGCGAAAAACTCTTTTGTGACTTGCTGCTCCAATGCAGCACTAATATGTGAACTCCGTTGAAGTCGTCGTTTGGTAGCGCTAATATCATCATGAGTGACGAAGATATCTGTGGTAGCTGTGACCGTGAATATCCACCCACGAGCAAGAAGAGAAAAGGAAAGGCGAAGCAAGGAAGCAAGAAATGGTGTGAAATGGTTTCACACAACTTGCGTCCTAATCAGCGATCTAGTTTCACCTGAACTCTAAAGCTTCTGGTATTTCTGTGAGACTTGCAGCATGCGAGGAAACCCAATCCCTAAGCAACAACAGCAGCAACATGATTCAACACCAGCACCGGACAATGACGTTCACGAACTTCTGGTGAAGCTAATCGAAGAACTGTCGGCAGAAATGCTCAAGCTGTGTGAGGAGGTGGAAGTTTCACGGTCCTGGTGTAAGAAGCAAGTTGAACGTCTTAAGAATCGTGTGCTCGAGGTCGACAGAATATACGACCGGCAGTCTGCACAAACCAAGATTCTCGAAACCATCGAACAGAAGATCGAAGCGATTGAATTGGGAGCAAAGCTTGCTATCGTATCCTCGCAAAATGTCAACAGCTACCGAGTCGATGAGAACCTCGGAGCCATTGTGAGGAGATATTTCGACTTCCTAGGTGTGCCTCACATCATGGCCAATGTTGTCAGGTATTTCCGTCTACCCAGTTAGATCTTCAAAATGGTCGGATCGTTCGCTCACACCCACAATTGTCATCGTGTTCGACGGAAACGAAGCCAGGAATTCGACGCTGCGAGTGTACTACAAGAAGCACAGGGATGCAAAATTGTGTATGCTGGATGATGATCTTCCGCTAGACTATCGGTTCACTCTGAACGAAGTCCTGTCTCTCACAACTTTCCGAATACGGAATCTTGATCTGAGACTTAAACACAAAAAAGTTATCAGCTCTGTGTTTATTCGAAATGACATAGGTAGTTTCCGTTCATCTCATTGATCAATCCGAATACACGCTAATCAACGATATCAATCAACTCATGGAACTCACTGGCTCGACAACAGAAGGTGAAAATTCATCGCTGTTCTTCCATGCACAGTCCTTAGTTTCTAACTGCACTACTATTTCGACGACTTTAATTCCACCAGATGACTACCTACCCAAAACAACTTCGTATAGGACACCTCAACGTTCGCAGTCTCTAACGACATATTGATGGTGTCAAGTTAATGCTCGACCGTGACCAATACCATTTCTTCTGCGTAACTGAGACTAAACTGAGACAATCCTCAACAGCTGGACCTATTCGGATTCCCGCCTACAACTTTATTAAGCATTCGCTTTCGTCCGGACGTGGTAGGAGTACCAAGACGTGTGGAGGGGCAGGAATTTATGTTAAGTGCTGGGGGAGCAGCAAGCCCCGAATGTCATCACTTGCATCACGTACACCACTATAGCTCCATGCTCGTCTATCCAGAAGAAACACTGACATAACTGGTCTTCGGCTCGGATCAGTACCTGATGAAACATTTCACGGATATCACCGGTCAGTCCGATACGGCGTTCCCGAAACTGGAGTAGAATCGCGAGGAGAGAGCACAACAGATCCGGTCCTTTTAGCAGCGCTGAGCTCAGGGACGTTCCATAGGCGATGGCCGCTGCGTCCCACACAATTCGCACCTTCCCAGGTTTATTTGGGTTGGTTACGGGAAAGATTGGCAAATACCAGCGTCGCGGAACCTTCTGGTTGATTTTTTCGTCGGTGAGCTTCCGGATGTACTGCTTCTCCACATACTCGGCAATTTTCGCTTGCAGGGTATTAGACAGTTGTGGGTCCTTCTCCATCCGTTTCTTCAGGCACTGGAATCGCCGCAGCGCCATTGATCGACTGTCAGGCAAGCGGGCGTCATCGAACCGCCAGAGCAGCCCGGACTCGTATCGATCATCTTTACGACGGGTAAGCGACTGAAACAGTGATACTGCACGTTCATCTTCAACGGACAAAAGCGCCTTCTCCGATTTAACCAACCCGAGACTGTCTATTGAGAAGTAGTCCTTCATAGCTTGGTGTAAATCCTCATCTGACTTCACACTACAGGGGCAAACGTGGAAGGTGTAATGGTGTAGGCTCGCTTCGTTCTGGAAAGTCCATCCTCCACACACGGTCCATCCGAGCCGTGTCTTCACAGCAATTGGTTGACCGATTTCCCCTTCTCGATTTTTCAGGCCAAGACTGAGCAGGGCGTGCTTCATCCCTATTAGAATGCGTGGACGAGCGTCGCGATGAGAATCGATCGGCAGATCTCGAAGGTGTGGGTACAGTTGTGACAACTTAGCCATGTCCATCGTTTGCTGCGGCAACAGTAGCGCTTTAACCGTCCTAACATCGCTCAAGAGGAATTTCTTGCTTTCGTTCTTGCCACCAGCAATGTGAAGATTATAGATGTGAGAATCCGCCTCGTGTCGTTCGGTTCCTCCAGTCCATCGGAGACACTAAGGGCTTACAGTGCCATCAAGCTGCAATTCGTTAGCTAGCTCTTGATCAAGCAACGTAAGCGCAGAACCCTCATCCAAGAATGCGTACGTGCGAATAGCTGTATTTTTTCCATACAACACTACTGGGAGATAACGGAACAGTACTGAGCTGACGGTTGTCTGGTGGGTGTTGCATCCGGACTTGCTAGTGCTGGATTGCGAAGATTGCTCACCTTCAGTGGTACTTCCGGTGTTTTTCGGATTTTCCTTCGAATTGTTGTGCAACAGCTCGTGGTGCCGGTAGGTGCATCCATCTTTACCACATGGTTTTGCTTTGCAGTATCCTTTATGGATGCGCAGACAGTTCCAGAAAACGTTTGCACTTATCGGCCGACTTGCAAGTTCCCTTGCAGATTTGGCAGGATTCCTTCGCCGAAGTTGATGCAACTGTAGTCTGTTCTTCCGAATCGCTACTGTAGTCTTAAGGACGAAACGTTTCAGAATGGGCGTTGAGGTACGCATTTCTTTTCTTAGTCCCCCGCGCTTCGTTTTGAGTTGGCTTCCCGTCATGTATCGCCGGTGGAAATACGACGACACTCGCTGATTCACCAGTGACAGTGTTCGACGATGCTGTGCCCAGTTGAGTTTGAGCGATGGCGTTAGCTTGCCGACTAGCTGGTGTAGTAGAGTGACATTGTACATATACTCCTGCAGTCCACACGCGTCTACAGTGGCACAGAAGTTTTGGACATTCACCGCAAAGTCCACTAGCGTTTCCAGCTTGTCTTCTCGAATCGACGATAAAGAGCTCACCTTCCTAATTAGCGATTGTATGATCACCTCTGGTTGACCAAACAGCATCTTCAAAGTGGACAGAATGCCAGGAACGTTTCCGGAATGCATCAAGCGACTCTTGACAGCATCGTAAGCTCTTCCTTTTAGGCTTTTCTGCAGTCGAACTATGTTTTCATCCTCCGTAAATCCGCACATCGTGGTCGTTCGATTATACATGGATATGAAAACTGGCCACTCCTCTGGATTGCCCGAAAACATAGGCAGATCTTTGGATACTGCTTGTCGTGCTGCAACTTGAGAGCGGGAAAGTTGAAACTGGTCATCATCATCCACAATCGACGAGTTTACCCTCTATTTCTGTCGTCTGTATTCATAGAAGGTCTATGCGGATAATACGATTCTCTCGGATGAAGTTGCGTCGACTGCGGTAGAGCGTCTGGAAGGAATTGTCCAGGTTGCTCACGTATCGACTCTCTGCATGACTCTGCTTCGAGATTCACCGGTGGAGGGTTGAGTTGTGGTTCTGGCATCTGGTTGCAATGAATTAGATTTACTGGTCGTCGCATGACCCCTTGACCATCCGCTAGCTGTTGTTGCTGGTCGCGTAGAATTCTCTCCTGTTCCAACTGCTGTTCCCACATCCGATTGATGGCATCCGCTTCCTTCCTCAAATCTTCCTGTTGCTGTCGCAGAAGACTCTCCTGACGTATTTGCTCTTGCCGCTGCTGCTGTTGATACGGCCGAAATTGCTGCTCTCTCTCCAACTGCTTCTGCTGCTGCTTCCGTAGCTGATCTGCGTGCAACCGTTGTTGCCGATGTTATTCTTGCAGTGTCGCTTCCTGCTGCTGTTGTTTTTCTCGAAGCTGTTCTTGCCGCAACCGTTCCTGCTGTTGTTGCTCGACAAACTCTTGACGCCGATGTTCCTGCTGTTGTTGTTCTTGCAGGCCGTCTTGTTCCTGAGCGGCGGTTTTGGCTGTGTCTAAGGGTGTAGGGTTAGTTGCTTGCACCCATTCTTCAACCCAACGACGAGAGAAGTTAGAGCTCCGACTCGATCCTCGTTCGCTCGCTAAATCCTCCAGAATCTTATATTTGTTGTCCAGATATTCCTTATACTCCTGGGGTGCCTTTTCCTCAGCGATTCTCCTGCGCTCTTCTCGCTGCTGCTGAAATGCCTATCTTCCTGCAATCTCATTAGTTGAAGCTTGGCGCGGTTTCTTGCCGACCTTTTGTGACGAGGAGATGGACATTTCGGAAATCGCTTCCTCTGCATCGATCACTGGCAACACTACAGCTGGTAACGACGACTTCTGCTTCTGCTGGCTGAACACTAGATCTGGACACGTTTGGTGTTTACTGGCCAACGAAACTGGCAATGACTTCAAATATTTTTGCGACGCTGGATCTGAACGAATTCCAGAGCCAATCAATGGTATATCTAGGCTATGTGTCGAAGTCTGCTGCTTCTGATCGGGCACTGGAACCAGAGGTGCTGGATGATGACTGGTCAACGGAACTGTCAGCTACTTAGCTGACTTTTGTGATGTTGTAGCTGAAGGAATTACTGGATTGCACGGGTGCTTGTCACGATTTTCCCGATGCTTAGGTCTTGCAGCGATCTCCGATTCTGGATGAAGTCTTCCTTTATTGGTGCTCCGTCCGAAGCTGCCTTAGTTTGCTGGACCCATTTCGCAGTCACGCAGTTAGTACAACTCCA